TGCCAATGCAACTGGATGTTTTATGGTCTTTGATCCTCACCCCCCCTCCAGCACATCCCTCAAACCCTCCTTGCCCTCAAGGGCCAGGGAAGAGGGAAGGGGCCTGGGAACAGGAAGGAAGTATGTGGAATTACAGGATGCTCTCCTCAAGTACTGCTTGAGCAACTTTTTAAGTGCTCAGCCAGGCTGGGAGATGAGGAGGCTTTAATTGAAAAGGAAAGAAGGAGACTTGAAATACTTCTCCAAAGGGAAAAAGAATGGGAGATAAAGGCCAATGAGCCAGCAATGCAGACAAGCTGCACTCCAAAAAGGGAAGCAGGTATTCAAGTTTTAGCATTGCTCAGGCACTGCAGGAAATGGGGTTTCTTAGGCTGGATGCTAACCTCAAATCAAGGCAGGATCGAGCCGCTCCATTAGCAGAGTCAGAGTGTTCTCAGGCAGGGGTATGAAGCAATGGCAACCCAGGTAAGACAAGCATCCGGGAGCCCTGAGTTGCCTCCCATTAACACACTGACCAGCCTAAAGCACGCTGAGAAGGGGGTTTCTAGCAGTCCATTGTGTTAAATGGGGGTGCAGCACTTGAGCTCTGGGGTCCAGAGGAGGCCCCGGAGCTGCTGCGAGGGCTGGAGCAGCTCTGCTCTGGAGCCAGGCTGAGAGAGCTGGGCTGGGGCAGCTGGAGAAGAGAAGGCTCCTGAAGGGGACACCTTAGAGCAGCTCCAGGGCCTAAAGGGGCTCCAGGAGACCTGGAGAGGGGCTTTGGGCAAGGGATGGAGGGACAGGATAAGGGGAATGGCTTGAACCTGCCAGAGGGGAGATTGAAGCTGTGGCTGCCCCATCCCTGGCAGTGTTCAAGGCCAGGTTGGACACAGGGGCTTGGAGCAACCTGCTCTAGTGGAAGGTGTCCCTGCCCGTGGCACCCAGATGAGCTTTAAGGTCCTTTCCAACACAAACCATTCCATGATTCTCTGCCCTCTTACATTATCCACCTTCCCAGCGCAGGAGAGATGCTCCACGAGAAGCCCAGGCACAGTGAAATGGCTAAGGCAGGTTCTCTCAAGTATTTTAGCAGCTCAGCGGTGCTGGGGCTGGCTCCTGCTCTGTGCACAACTTGTACTCAGAGGAGGGGAAAAAATAAAAGACTTTGTAACATAATAAGCAAGTTCCAGACAGGAATTAGGGTATAGAATATCCAGTGGAGCCAGGGGGCTGGAGTGGCATTAAGGTAGGAAGAATATAATTACCTGAACTGGCCTGTGGCCAGCAGAACAGTATTATTGCAAGAAACCAGAAGGGCTAAAACCTGGAATTTACATTTAAATCCAGAAAGATGGCAAATAGCAGCATCCTGATTCCATTCTTCCACCTTTGGGCTGGAAGGAAAGCTCTCCTGATAGGTTTTCACCTCTAATATCTATACCCTGTGACCACAGACAGAGCTCACCCTCAGCTTCCTTTGGGAAGCCCTCCCATCACATCCCTGTAGCTCTTGAGGCCCTGCTACAAGGCACGTACCTGAGGCAACGCCTGCACCTTGCAGTGCAGAGAACACATCATCCCACATCCCATCACTCAGCAATGAAGCCCCACTTGGTCCCAAATAGAGGCAGAAGCAGGTTCTTCCTCTCTGAGCATAGCTCCTAAATGGATCTGGTATTCATCAGCCACTGCTCTGCAGAGATAAATGCTTCATCCTCTGGCTGTTGACACTGGAAATGGCCCAATCTCCCCTGGGGGGGGGGGGTATTATAAAGGGGAACTTGGCTTCAACCACACTCCTGGTGTATGCCGGAGAAGGCCCCCCCCCTCCCCGGGGGGGGGGGGATATTATAAAGGGGAACTTGGCTTCAACCACACTCCCCACATCAGGTGCTGTACAAATGCTCCCTGGCTTGGAGGTAATGGATTTCATAGGGTGGATGGGATCTTTCCATGGCAGAACTAATCCACAATAATACATGCTCCGAGGACTCATTGTATCAGGTTTGGCTTCCTCCCCTCTCTTTTCCTTATAGGTAATCTGTCACTTTCCATGTGGAATGGCTCATTTTCAGGCATTCTTCATGTCCTTTTAACTTACCACTTTTCCTCCTCCAGGCCCAGTACCAGGGGGAGCTTCCTAAGCAGCACTGCCCAAGGGATGTGGAGATGGGGCTGCACCACCCCTGCTTCTCCGGGTGGCTTTCACTTCCCCGCAGGAGAAAGGCCCAACATCTCTGCTTTCACACTCACTGGAAAGCCTAAATCCAGAAGTTTGCTTGTCAGGGAGGAAAAAGCAATGCTGCTGTTACCAGAGAGGGAAAAACCATTCCCATTCCTCACCGAGCTCCTAAGGAATTGGGGGTTTGCCATGTATACACCACTGGGTGCCAGGAGGGCAAAGCGTTGTCCCAGCCCCATTGCCACCCTTCCCACTCTCCCTCCTCCTTGCTCTCCTCTTCCCAAGGGCTTACAGGCAGTTTGGTAGCAAAGACAAATTTTAAACCCCAACACAGACACAAGTTTGAAAGGGACTTATTATTGTACACAGAGACATAAGTTACAAGGGCTTGGGAGCACCAGTTTGCTCCTCATTTCATAACAAAATAGGCTTTCAACACAGTGCACTTCTACAGACTTGAAGCATTGCACCACAAACACCTGCTACAAGGGTTTGAACGCAGGAAATACAACAGGGAGTAAGTGCATGGTGGCTCCTTACCCCCAAAACACCAAGCTCTGGCTCAACACGACTCCTGTGTAGCTTACAGTGGTGCCCTGAAGGTCTATACCCTGCAAGGTGGAGGTGAGCACCCAACCCAAGTGATGGCTGCTCTGTATCTAACGTAACAGCAGTCTGCAGCCTTTCCTTGGGATCAAATCTTGCTCCTGGGCAGCCTCACCTCAGCTGTGAGAAGGGACTGAGAGGGATGAAGGAGAAAAGGGGAGTTTGAAGCCACTAAGAGCATGAGAAGGGCTCCGCTGGAGCCTGTTTTCCATGCGCTAAGGAAAGATTAAACCCAAGATCCTGCAAATCCCAACTCCTGGGGTCTGATCCCCAGTCTGCTGCTGACTGAAGAGCACAGGGAAGTAAACCTACTCCATCTCTTATGCCCCAGCTCCTCCTGTGTAAGCACGGAGGAGATGCTGCTGCTTGAGCAAGGCTGCACAGTGCAGCTCGAGCAGCAGCAGGGCATGCAGAGCCCAAGCAGCTCTGGTGCAACCACACGGCACTGGCACAGCATCCCAGTGAAGCACTGGCTCTGGAGCCTGGCAGCAGAAACCACCCGTTATGTCCATCAGGAGGGCTCCATCAGCCTTTCTTCCATCCATCCTCATCCTTCCAAAGCCACATGCACTGTCTGCTAAGGACTGTGCTTCACCTTTACCCCTGCATGGAGCTGGCAGTGCCATGGTGTGCAGTGCACCTCAGAATGATGCCTTTCAGCCTCTTGATGATCCCCCTGATCCGAGATTGCAATCTTAGAGCTCCAAACCCATGAAATCCACAAGGAAACAACAAGCAAGCACACCAAGAAGCCATCAAGCTCAACAGGGCTGCAAAGTGACTCCTCCTCCCGCTCCTCAAGAGAGGTGATGGAGTAAATGGAAGTAGGAAGCACAAGAAGGGAAATGAGCCTGGCAGTGAAAGACACATATTATACTTAAAGATATATGGGATTCCTGCTCCCATACTGCTGCTTGGCCATTTGGGATCATCTCCAATGCTTTACCTCATCTACTTTTAAGCTACTTAACACATACTCCCTCCTTTTCCAAGCAGGTAGCAAGTTATCATCTCACAAGTGTCACTGCTGAATGATGCCAAACTGCTTTGCTTCATTACACTGGATCCTGCCTAGTCTTGGGATGGCCTTAGAGCTCCCTAAAAACATACATGCTGGCAGCAAACTCCTCCTTCCTTGTACTTTTACACACCAGAAGCACGAAACAGCACATACTACGTGTGTCCCTTATTAAGCAGCTGTCTCTGAGAAGGAGAACACAGTCAAGTTGTAGTAATACCAGTAGTAAGCACGTTGGAGTTCCATGTTGTTCTCCAAACATGCCACAGAGTAGCCAGGTCTGAGGAACAGCAGATGAAATGCACTGCTTGGCATTAGAACATGCAAAGTAGCTGGGATCCTGCATGCTTCCCTCTTGCAAAGTCTATTCTGATGTGTAGAGGACACCAAGAGCAGTGTCCCCTCCATCAGGAAGCTCCAGCACTGCTCAGTTCATCTTTCTCCCAGGAACAAGTCCCCAGGCTGCTCTGTTGGTGCATATTGTGTCCATGTGCCCTGTTCCCAAACCTGCCAAGCAGGCAGCACAAGCTTGCAGAGCCACTCAGGCCTTGGATAAGCTGGGAAAGCAGCTCTCAAGCTGACATCCCACTCATTCTGTGCTGGGTGACAGAGAGCTAAGGTGGTGCTCTCCCTATTTGTATCCTACTGTTCAGGCAGCAAGAGATGCCAGAACACAACCATGACAGAGCAGTGGCAGTGGGAAGGAGCTTATCTTTGTCCCTAAAGCAGGAGAGCAGCTCCACACTCTTCCTTCTGGTACAAGACATGATGTGGCAGATACACAGGTAAGGCTGCTTAGAGAGCAGGGACAGTGTTTGGTCCTCCTGGAGACACATCTATCAACCAGATCCCATCACAGCTGGTCTTGATGGCATGCCAAAAACACATCCTACATGCCATCTGCCTTTAGAAGTTAGAATCACGGAGCAAGACAACAGGCTTTGAGGGCAGCCTGAGTATCCTTCTCAGTGTCCAGCCCAGCAGAGGTCAGGCATCTTCACTCCAGGCTCTCCAGCAACGGGACAGATGCTACACAGCCCCTGACACTGCCTTGAATCCATGATCCAGCCCCAATAAGCCTGGAAGCAGCCTCACTTAGCACCAGCTGGACCATTTCTTTCCAAGAAGCTCCCAGACATGTTCAGTGAACACTGAAAATGAAACCATCCTATGTCAGTGGCTGCTTCTCTCCTCCACTGCTGGCTACAGCAGCCCTGGTCAATGTGCTTTGTCCAGGCCACTGGAGGCTGATGGTGACACAGATGAGGTCCCAAGCTCCTCACTGGAGCCCTTCAGAACCAAGAACTCCAGCAGAATGTCCAAGAGGCAGAAAACCAGGTGCCTGAAAGGGAGAGAAGACAAAGCTGAGGCTGGTGAGGGCAAACAGGGAACACAAATGCAGCTCCCTAAGCTCATCTAAACCCAAACTAAAGCAGGACTTCTCCAACTCTGATATCCACACACTCATGACCACCACTGGCTTCATGTTCTCCAGGCAGACCAAGGTCCTAGCCATGCATCTTCATCCTAAGCCAGCCAAATGTCCTCTGACAGTCCAAGTCCAGGCTCAGGAGAATGTGCCAAGCAGCATTCATGTCATGGTGAAGCCCAGAGTGGAGCTTACAACCCCTATCACAAAGGCTATCAGGGTAAAGAGACCATAAAATCCACATACTTATTGATGACAGGCTGGCTCAGGGACTCCAGGACCACATTCCAGCTCATCCTACATTTACTGGTTCCAAGGATTTCCTGGATCACATCTGTCAATGACAGAGAAAGTTTTAGGAATGGCACGTTGCCCCAGTAGTAAAACTGGGTCAGTCTGAAGCTTGTGGATCAATCAAAGCATCAAAATCAATCATGAGCAATCAAAGCTTACGATGGTGCTTCAAGCCTGAGGCATCTCCCATCCAACATTACCATGACAGAAAAGAGCTAGGGAATAGCACTGGATGCCAGGAAAGCATTCCAGGCTGGAAGGGCATCTACTGATAGTGCTTTCTCATCCCCAAAGGATCTGGGAACCACCAGGACACATGTTGGGTCTCTCTGCACTGTGCTGCTCCCCAGATATAACTAGGAAACTGGCTTTTGCCTGCAGAAAACCACTGAAACTCCAAGGTCATGAGCATTTCCCAGTGTTTAACCACCTTCCCAGACATGCCAATGCACTGGAGGGTTCCCAGCCTGGCCCACAGCTCCTTTCCCAAGGGTAGATGACATCTTTGGGGGACACTTACTGGGCAAGATGCCCATGAGGCTCTGCAGGGCCTGCTCTGCTGCTGCTTTCTTCTGTTCCTCTGTCCTGGCTGGTTTGGGCACTGCTGGTAACACCCCTCCAGGCCAGATGGATTCCTGCAGCAACTGGAGGTACTGGACCCAACGCTGGGTGCAGGTCAGGTTCATTACCTGCACTTCCAGCCACCTGTGGGCAGAGAGAAAGAGAAGGAAAGGTCAGGAAAAGTCAAGCTTGGTACCAACCTGGGAGCTTTCTGCCGATCAGAAGCACTAAAGGAGCTCACTGGGGCAGTTCACATGCAGCTTGCAAGCCACAAGTAAAGAGTCTTCCCCATGCACCAGAAGCTGACACAGGGTCCTTATTTTAGAGACAAACACATATGTAAAGTCACAGGGGAAAAGCAAAGGCCGTGAGAAGCTCCATCACCCTCCTGTCCACAGGCAACCAAATAAGTGGTCCCCAAAGGGAGCATGGCTAAAGGATATGAGTGGCCTTAACCTCCTAAGTTATATCTATTCACAGAGCTGGAAAAAGTGGTGGTTTAACTCTGGAACAAGCCCTGTAACTGCCTGGAAGGACGTGAACATGTTCTGGCAACCACTGATTCTCTCACCAGTCCCTCTGCTGTCAAGAGAGTCAAAGGTATCTTGCTTGGAGACCAAGAGACACGCTCCAAGGATGTCAGTGGAGATGTGTCCACAGCACCAAGTGCTGGCCAGGGATTGATTCTAAACCCTTGTTTTAAGCTTAAACAGGGGAAGTTCAGGTTAGACATCAGGCAGAAGCTCTTCCCTGTGAGGGTGCTGAGGCGCTGGCACAGGGTGCCCAGAGAAGCTGTGGCTGCCCCATCCCTGGCAGTGTTCAAGGCCAGGTTGGACACAGGGGCTTGGAGCAACCTGCTCTAGTGGAAGGTGTCCCTGCCCGTGGCAGGGGTTGGAGCTGGATGAGCTTTAAGGTCCCTTCCAACCCAAACCAGTCTGTGAGTCTACATGAGTGGTGCAGAGCCCCTTGCCCAGACACGAAATCACTTCCCAATGTCACACCAAAAGCTACAGTCATCCGTCAAAACTTGCCACTGCCCAAAATCCTTCCCCCTAGAATAAGAAGATGAATCCCTGATGCCACAGAGCCCACCAGGAGGGTTTCTCTCCATTTAGCAAGACCAGGACTTGGTGGCGCAGCGCTGCTGGCAACATCCTATCAGCAGGAGGCTCCAGAGCAAAGAGGGAATATCAGCAAGGGGTTGGGATTAGGGATACGGATAAGGCTTGTGATGAGGCCAGTACTTCAAGAGTCCCATGGGAGAGCAGTCGGGAAGCAGAGCCAGGAGCCCCGTTCCTCTTGGCAGCCTGTGTTCGTGCTTGCAATTCCCTCACCACTCCGCCCCGGCAGCTCATAGTACATCCAAGAGCACGGGCCCTGCCAAGGCAAACTTTATTTAACCTGCCCTCTGCCAGACTGTCTGCATTCTTCAGGCGAGGCAGCCAGGCCAAGGGCTTCCTTCCCCACACAACTGGGACACCACGAGTGGAGAAGCTGGAATAGCAACACCTAAAGGGGCAAAGGAACAGCAGGTAGCGATCGTTGGGACCGAGGCTGCAAGAAGATGCTCCCTTCTTCAGCACAAGGTGCCTACACGTCTTGAAGGATGCAGACCTAGGAAAAAGGAGCTGCAAAAGCAAAGAGCACCAAAGAACCTGACAATGAGTCTTGGTGCAGCAGTTAGAGCCGTTACGTCTCAAACCAAGGTCTTATTGGAGCAAGGGCAATGCTCCCGGTCATCCCAGCACTGGAAAGGGGGACACGCATTTATGCTCAGCCACATGAGGAGTGCTGATGTTGCTAGAAGCTAGTGCTAGAGACCCAAAGTGTAACTTCTACCTGCTTTAGAGGACAAATGTCACATCAGTGTTGCCTGTCTGAAATGCAATTGCTTAAGAGGGTTTTTATCTCCAGCCAGCACTTGAGTTTAACACCCTGGATCATGTTAAACTCCCCAACCAAATTCAAGTGTTAAAGTGTGACTTCTCCAGGGGGCAAGAGCTTTCATTAACAGGGACTTTCATTAACATGTCTCCTTATACAACCTGCTTTTCCTAATTGAGAAACCATCTGACAAGCAACAGAAGTTCAGAGACTTGGGGACAGTGCTGCAAAGAGCGCAATCAGGCGTCGAGGGAGATCAGATTGAACACTGACTTGCCATTCATCTCAGCAAGTCACTTACCATGCTCTAAAAGAGTGCAGAAAGCAAATCATCTTGCTTTTTCTTAGCAGTGCTCCTAAAACAGCAAGAAATCAAGCAAATAGTGGGCTGAAAGCAAATGGCAGGAGCTCAGAAGGGCTCTGTTGGTTTTACCCCATGTTGCACCATTGCGTGCCAAGGGGATGCTCCTGGGAAGAGGCCGACTTGCTCCACCACATGGTGCTCAAGCAGCAGGATGCTCACTGCTAGGAGGAGGGGAAAACACCACCAAAAACATACAGAGAAGAAACTAGACAGGAAAGGGGACAAGAAAAAGATGAAGAAACCAAACCTGGGGGCAAATGGAAGGAAGACTCAAGTGACTGTGCTCTAGGTTCCCTGTTTCCAGTCTATCAGGGCATGGACCCATTCCAAAAGCATTGGGAAGAGAAGAACTGTCAGGACTGGTCCCTACAGCTCAGCATCCATGGGAGAGCACCTGATGCTCTCAGATGCTTCAAAAGGAAAGAGTAACCTGCCACCAAAAGCCTTCCTCCCTGTCCTGTGGAATTGACTTTCCATCAGGCAGACCCAGGACCAGGAGTACCAGCGCACACTTCTCACACAGGAACTCCAACTATGTGCTGCTCCAAAGCTGACCTTTGCCAGCAGATCACAGATGATTTCTGGTACTATTAAAGGAGCAAGCATTTGAGATCTATGTGCCACATAAAAGCACACCCCGCACACCTCCCCCCCTGCTTCCAGGTAGAAATAAATCCAGCAAGAAACACAAACAGAGTCATTTGGATGGCTGATGAGTTACTATTTCCATTCTGCTATTTCATGAAGAACCAGCCTGAATAAGAAAGCAAGCAAAATAAACCCATCACCAAACCATCTCCTTACACTTCAGTTGAGACCAAAAAGAGATCAAGTGACCTCCTGGGCTCAGACATCCAAATGCTTTGATAATGCCCAATGCAAAGAGACAGACTGCAAAGGCTACGAAGTCTTGGAGGTGCATAACTTGCCCATGGTGTAAGGGTCCTCTTTGGAATAGCTGCTGCTGGAGGAATGAAATGACTGCTAAAAAAGAGCTGATTTAATGCCATGGCTTAAGCTGGAGCTCCAAGATCAGATGAAGTGGTTCATTAAGACAGGAAAGGCAGAAATGCCCCAGGAATGAGAAAAAAAGGCCTGGGGAGATGTATCTTGGATGACTTCTGGCATCCAGCAGCCACCAAGATGGAGCAGCCCATGGTAAGAGCAACCTTAAGAGTCAGGAAGAGGCAAAAGACAGTGTATGGATGTGGTTTTACCTGCCTCCTGTGAGCTGGGTGCACTCTCTGAAGTGGGTTCACCTGCAGACAGAGCAAGCTCAACTCAGCAAGGAAAGGCTGGATTTGCTTAGGCTGGAAGAGAGAGATGGACCAGGAACGGACAAAAAGCCAAACCTGAAGCAACAGCAACTGTGAATCCCCCCAAATTGGGCATTGTAATGATTTAGGCAAACACAAACTGGAGACCACGAAGAGACAAGAAAGCTTCCACTAATCTGCTTTAGCTGCATCAATAACTAAATAGACATAAGCTGTGCAAAACAGTAGCAATTCCAGCTCAGCATCTACTCCTTGCCATCCCAGGAGAAGGCCTCCACTTCCCTGAGGGAGTTACCATGGCATGGCTAAGCAGGAGCTGAACAAAGGCCCCTGAGACCAAGGCAGTGAAAAGGATTTAAGGAAAAGGCAGCATGTGGAAATGCAAAAGGCATTCAAGCCTCTGCCTCTTAGGAAATGGAGAAGGGCTGGTACTTCAAGCACCACCTCTCCCCTTTACAGTACTTGTCCCCCAAATTCCTCCCCAAATTGTGCCTCAAAACCACAAGAATATCCTTCACTCAAGGGCTCAGCAACATTTCAGTGCTTGGACTGTAAAAGATTGGAGCAAAAGCTTGGAAAACCAAAGCAAGAGCTGCGGAAAGCACAGGGAGAAGAATGGAAACACACAACTGGAGAGCTTTCCCCACCAGGCTCAGCTTTCAGCACCTGCTTGAGCCCACATCCACCTTCTCTGCAGGGCCCACACTCACCTCCACCATGTTCAAAGCAAAGCCACACTTGTCCAGGCCATAGTAAACCCTTCACAGAGGAAGGAAACAGCAAAGACAAAAAGCTCTCCATAAATCAAAGAATAAAAAGCACCCTGAGTCCTTTTCAACTCCTGGCCAAAAAGGAGGCAAAAAGTAAACTCTCCTCCTCTCCTTACTGGAAATGTTGCTCTCCTGCTGCCCTATAAAACGTTTCTAGTTGCATGTGCTGTGAACAACATGTCCTGTACCTCTGCCTGAGCACACTAATGGAGTGTTTGACCAGTGAGGCAGCAGCACTGTGACCTTGCCCTCACACAGAGCATCCCACCAGCCTCCCAAGCACAGCTCTGCTGAAGGAAGTGAGAAATGAAGCTGCAAGGAATTGAGGTGGAATAAAGGGATGCTCCCCCTCTGCTGCGCTCTATAAGACCCACCCTTGCAGTCCTGGTCCAGCTCTGGGGCAACAGCACAAGAGGGACGTGGAGCTGTTGGAGTGAGGCCAGAGGAGGCCATGGAGATGCTGTGAGGGCTGGAGCAGCTCTGCTCTGGAGCCAGGCTGAGAAGGGAAGGACAATAACTCATCTCTTACTTACTGTAGGCATGAAACCACCCCTCAGTGCTGGAATTTGGGGCATTGCTTTGCGCTGCTCCCTCCAAAACACTCCCGAGACATCACAGAAAAACACAGGGCTCCAACTTCCAACATCTTCTCCCCGCAGTGAATTAACTGGGCTGCTCTGGTTTTGGCTTTTTAGATCTCCCTGTGAAGCTGTGAGGCTTAGAAAGGGGGAGAAAGACAAGAAATCATCCCCAAACCCCCTTGATTTGTAACAAAACATCCCAGCTTTTGCTAACATCTTCATCAAGTATTTCTTGAGCCATTTGAGCTCTCAGCCTGGTCCTACTCCA